CAAATATATTTTAAAGTAATTATAATTATTTTAATTATAATAATTCGTTTTGGTTCGTTTATCAATCAATATTTTACATTCTAAGCATATTTTATATTCCTTAACATTAACTGAGCATTAACGTGTTCCCTCGAAATATCCCATAAATAAAATCTTAAGTTTGTTTGGATATCCTTTTATACAACATCGCTGTCGTAGTCATATTTCTTGCATTTGAAAAAAACGTGATAAAAATAAAATAATATCTTTTAAAATACAGGGCAGTATTTTCTAAGAGAAAATCCAGAAATTTCATTGAGATGAAATATTCATTTAATCTTGTCTTATCATTCTATTGTTTGAATTAACAAAATAGACGTTCCTCATTCTTGCATAAATATAGATCATTAGGAAGTAGAGCGATTCTTGATGATTTTTCTGTTTTTATGGACTAATTCAGATAAGAATGTGTGTTATCCCTTCTAAATATTTTTGTACTAATTCTATGTAAAAATAATATCTTTTAAAAATACCGGGCGGTATTTTCTAAGAGGAAATCGAGCGATTTCATTAAGACGAAATACTTATTTAACTTTGTCTTAACCCTACTGTTTGGGTTAAGGAGATTAGACCTTCATTATTCTTGCATAAATATATATCGAACATTTCTTGATGATATTAGTTTTTTATCTGCATTTATAGAGGGAAGAACGTGTGTTATCCCTTCTAAATACTGAAAAAATCATGCTATTTTTTCAGTAATTCTATACAAAAATAACGTATTTTAAAATATCGGATGGTATTTTTAAGAGGAAATCGAGCGATTTCACTTGAGACGAAACACTCATTTAACTTTGTCTTTTATGTTCCTACTTTATAAATTACGCAGAATAGACGTTTACTATTCTTACATAAATATAGATCATTAGGAAGTCAAGTGATTCTTGATAATTTTTCTGTTTCTATGGATTTATACAGGGATGAATGTGTGTTATCCTTTCTAAATAAAAAATTATTAGTTTTCTTTGACTAATAAATGTTTTTAAAAATAATTAAAAAAAAATACATGCAATCTTTTGTGTATTTTATAAAAATTATATGCAGTGGGATCTTTCCTCTCAAAGTTCTGAGCGGTATTTAAAAGCAATTGAGCGATTTGTAATTTTATTAAGACGAAAAAATATTATCTTGTCTTTATTGGTCCTACTGTTTGAGGTAATAAGCAGAATATAGACGTAGAGAACATGTCATTGGAAAGTCGAGCGACTCTTGATAATTCTTCTGGTTTTTTGGGTTTTAATGTAAATTATTATAAAAATAGAAAATACAACCAGATTGCAATGTTACTCTTTATGAAGAAATCGTTGTTCATTAGAATTAATTAATTACGTTTATAATGTTTACACAATTATTCAGAAAATCACCTTTTCTTACTCTGAACATCTACAATGTAATTATATCAAGGACAAGCGAAGGAAAATTAAAAAAATTAATCGACTTACCTTAAGGAAGATTAATTGTAATTTTCCGAGCTTGTCTGTAGATATAATTATTTCCCATCCCACCCTAATATATGTGGATACATATTTGGTTCCCAGATTTAAGGTGATTTTCGTAACACGCACTTCAACGGAATGATATGCAGGTTTGGTATACGATAGGAGCAGTGAATATGGGGCATTTTGTTTACTCTAGAAAAAATACGTGCTGATGAGTAGGTTTCAAGGAAACTACAATGTAATTATATCTACAGACAAGCTCGGAAAATTACAATTAATCTTCCTTAAGATAAGTCGATTAATTTTTTAATTTTCCCTCTTAATACATAAATAGCTATTATAGGTTTTTAAAATTGTAAAATAATAAAACAACTTTATATTTAATTTTTATAACATCCCAAAAAATTATTAATAACTATTCAGTTTTGTTAGGTATCTCATTTATTTACAAATAATTTTTAATTATTATTCTCTTAGTTATTATTTCTACCTTAGATGTACATTTTTATAAATTACTCTGTTAGTATCTCTGTTTTATTTATAATTATTTCATATTATTCTATTAGTTCTTGTTCTGTTCTTTAGTTACAAATGTTTTAAAATTATTCGATTCTTGTTATTTCTACAGTTACAAAATAAAAAATATTTTGGACGATTTTTCACTTTTCAACACATATTAATATACCTACTTTTCAACACATGTGTGATATTATTTAATTTACTTTTTTATTTGCAAACGACGATTTTTTACCTGATTCTAAGAAAAATATTGTACATAACTCGTTGGAAAGTGTTTTAATCGCACCCGTTTAGTTTCCACGCTCTCCGGTACGCGGCTCGTGCAATACTTCAAATCGTGCGAAATGTTATACTTTCCACACTTGACTATAATTTGTTCCAATTAGGTATAGTACAAGCAAACGATATAGTGTGACTTTAAAGCTTTAAAGCCATCCGGCAACATACAAAAAAACTAAGGATACTGATACATCACCTTTAAATTAGTAGAGGATCAATCAACAGATTGAGTATACTCATTTTATTTTTACTTCCCTTGATATTGTAATCGTGAACATTTAGATTTTCACGTTTTCGGGTCCCTAGATTACAAAAACATGTTTTCCCCATTCCGTCGGTCTGTCCGCCGTCTGTTGTATGCCGTCTGTTTGTTGGCGCAATAGAAGAAAAACTTAAAATTTTGTATGCAGGTAAGGCTTCCTCTTGGCTCAAAACCGGTAATACTTCCGATCAGATATATACAAAGTGAATAATTAAAAAAAACATTTATTTTTAAAAGTCAACAGATTTCGACTAAAATTGGTTTCTGATAAAAATTTTATCTGATCAAAGATAACTGATCTAGAATAACTTTTTAAAAATTCAAAATTGCTTCCCTGATTTTATAATTTATACAGGGTGTTTTTTATTGGTATGCTAATATTTTAGGGTGTGATTCCTCAGGTCATATTATGAAGAAAAACTCATATGAACATATGTCCGCAACGGCTTCAATTTTTTGCTACAGGCAGTTGAAAATTTGTTTTTTAAGGAGATATTTTTTAATATAATAGTTTAGATATAAATTTCAATTTTGGCATGTGTTAATGAAATATAAAACCATATATTTTAGTTAGAAAATTTATTTTATTGCTCTACTAGTGGCGTCTTTGCAAACATGTCATCTGATATTTTCTACAAAAAAAGTAGTACGCCACTGACATTTTACTCATTTTTCTCATCAGCCGCTCGATTCTAGATTAAAATAATTGGAATTTATCGTCAATACAGCAAAATGAAGGGGATTATCACCGGTATCTCTCGCATTTTATTAATGATTTATTTCTTAAAACTCAAAAAATAATGAACGAATATCAAATTTTTCCCTATAAAAGAACATGAAAACTTGCGTAAAATGACATTCCGGTGACAATCTCCGGCGAGTCGCCAGCTTTTTGGGCTTTCGCCGGCGGATCGCCAGCGAATCGCTGGCGATACGCCGAAATGAATTTCTGGCGAGTCGCTGGCGATCGACTATGCATACGGCTGTTAGTTTGTTGTACATTTTTTCTGATTTTTAAAATGTAAAACTATACCAGAACACATTAATTAAGTAGGTAATTACAAGTAAGTAGAGACTTTATTAAGATTACCATTTCAACATTTAGGGTACAATTAAATGAAACAAACAATTAGCATTTATATGTGATAAATTTTAGTATATTTTTAAAATTTTGTTGAGCCCGTAAACATAGGGTAAATGCATTTTGCTACATTAAAATCGAATTTGTTTAATGTTATTATTTAGACTATTGTTATTAAGATTTGTATTAATACATTTACCCCAACCCCAAATGCGCTCTTACCTCAACTGAACCTACATAATTCTATGCAGAACCCATCAGAGTTTCTTCTGAGAGTAAAGAAGAATCTCGAGTAGAATTTAAGGAGGAGGAGGATGAGGAAGAGAAGGATGATAATAACCAAAAATTTAATATATCACCCTCAACCCAAAAAGTTATTAGAAATATGTACCACCAATTAAAATTGGAAAATAATGGATCTAATTATGGTGTCATAGAAAGAATACACGTTTTGACAAAAATTTCTAAACCTTCGAGTAGAAAAGTTATAACTCAGAAATGTTTTCCAAGAGAAAAGCGGACTTAAAGGTCTCTAGTAAGTCTAGATCACTGCATGATGGAAAATATTAGAAGAAAGGTTTATAATTTTTATTCTACTAATATTGTACCATCTTTTTAAATGATTAAAAATGAAATCAAGTTGGTTCCTAGTTTCCCTTACGAATCTGATAAAACCACTAGAAAAGTGCTCCATTCTGTGTGTTTAAGATATCGTACCTTAAAAACAGCATATTATGGAATCGTAAAGAATTATGATTTTACATAATGAATACCTTACTAAAATAGAGGAAGCTCGTCGGCAAGATAGATTCATAGTGTATCTTGATGAGACTTGGTACGACACTCATGATATTGAAAAAAAAAAAAAGAATGGAGTTATCAATCTGCTAAATGTTCTGTAAAGGCTCCTTCAAATAGAGGAAAACGTATTATAATAATAATAATAATAATAATAATAATATTATATGCCGGTAATGAAACCGGTAACATTTAGTCACATTTATAAAACACCTATTTGAAGTTAGGAAATTATGCAAATAATGTGAAAATTTTTAAATGCGTATAACATTTCCACTTGAAATATATAATAATCTTATATTAAATCATAACATACAACATACAACTAATTAGATCCGTCCCTGTGCTTCGGTTGTAGATGTCTATATAATATGAATCCCTTTGTTGTGCCGAAAGAGAACGAATATCAAGTTTCAGTTTTTTTTGTATGTTGCCAGCTGGCTTTAAAGCGTTAAAGTCACACTATATATCTTGCTTGTACTGTACCTTTTAGAAACCTGCGAACGATATGACAGTTTTGCAAAATAACTGCTTTCTGTGCGTAACTGGATAATCAATCCTGTCTTGAAGATTTTTTTATTAATATTATTATTATTATTATTACTATTATTTATTAAGTACGTTAACCTACAATATATTTGAGATATTTTTAATCAAATTTACTTTACTATTTATTTAAAATTTCCTGAATTTCAAGAAACGATTTTCCTTTAATTTCTGGAACTACTAACCAAGTAAATAAGATGGATAAACCAGTTGCACCACCGAAAATCAGAAATGTCCATGATACTCCTAACGCAACAGTCATGAGTGGATATATCATAGAAGTAATAAAACCCAACATGACCAATTCACCTGCTACAATTGAACTTAATTCCCCTTTTAAATTCGATGGAAAAATTTCAGCAACAACCGTCCAACATACCGGTCCAGCGCCAAGCCTAAAGGACGCCTGGTGTATAATTATACACACCAACGGCAACCAGAAGATGGAATCTAGATTGAAATCATTTTCTTGTAAAAAGAAATATATTCCAAGAGTTATCAAAGATAAAAAAAGGCCAATATATGAATAGAGAAATAGCTTTTTTCTACCAACTTTGTCTATAATACTTAATACAAGAATTGTAGCAAAAAGCTGGAAAATACCTACTATTATGACAGATATATGGCTTGGGACAACGTTATCGGCAAGACTAAAAATTTCTTGTTGATAAGCTGTAACTGGTACAGCTCCAGTTAGTTGGGAACATAGAGTTAATCCGAGGCCAATTATTAATGATTTTTTTACTGTTTTAGAGCTCATTATTTCTTTAAACGAGCCTGTTGTTTTTTGTTTCCTTGAAATTTTTAACAATTTCTAATAATTCACTTTTAACATTTTCCCGTTTTCGTAATTTTTTTAAAGATTTTTCTGCTTCTAACATTTTATTACATTTAACAAGGTAATAAGGACTCTCAGGCACAAATGGTACAAATATAATATAAAATAAAAAAGTTGGTATCAGACTTAAACATGCAAATGTGCTTATAGTAACGTAAGGGCCTACGGATACAACTGCAATATGGGATAATGCTGCCGTTAGGGGCATGACCATTCCAGCTTTTCCCCTGTTATGGACATCTATAATTTCTGCGACGTACAAAGGTAATATTGTAAATACAGATGCTGATCCAACTCCTAATAAAAAACGCGCTATATAAAATTCAATTATTGTATGAGCAGTAATCAACAAAATATTAGAAATCAAAATTGGTATTGAAAAACAAATAAGCGCCATCTTCTGTCCAAGTTTTTCACTTGTTATTCCGATAAAAAAGAGCCCACATAATGCTCCCAAATTATACAGAGAACTTATCCACGATTCTTCTAGTAGAGTGATTGGCCTTTGCAATGGGTTCTGGTTGGGGTCTACATGTCCATTTAACTTGGGAAGAAACGGCGAGGTCCATGGGAGTACCGACATTTGCAGTAAAAGACAAAAAGTTCACTAAAAACAAATAAGTAAATATATTAAATATTAATTATTCTGGCAAGCACTAAAGTGAGATAAAAAGGCATTTAAGAGGATCGAACAAAAAACCGGCATTGCAAGTCGAACTCGCGCATGAAGGGTTTCGCACCAACGTACAAGATTTAATACTATGTAGGTACTTTTTAAATATTACTAAGATCTAGCAAAAAAGCCAAAAAAAAAACACGTTTCACGAGGACGAGGGACGAGGACGAGGACGAGGACGAGGACGAGGACGAGGACGAGGACGAGGACGAGGACGAGGACGAGGACGAGGACGAGGACGAGGACGAGGACGAGGACGAGGACGAGGACGAGGACGAGGACGAGGACGAGGACGAGGACGAGGACGAGGACGAGGGACGAGGACGAGGACGAGGACGAGGACGAGGACGAGGACGAGGACGAGGACGAGGACGAGGACGAGGACGAGGACGAGGACGAGGACGAGGACGAGGACGAGGACGAGGACGACGAGGACGAGGACGAGGACGAGGGACGAGGACGAGGACGAGGACGAGGACGAGGACGAGGACGAGGACGAGGACGAGGACGAGGACGAGGACGAGGACGAGGACGAGGACGAGGACGAGGACGAGGACGAGGACGAGGACGAGGACGAGGACGAGGACGAGGACGAGGACGAGGACGAGGACGAGGACGAGGACGAGGACGAGGACGAGGACGAGGACGAGGACGAGGACGAGGACGAGGACGAGGACGAGGACGAGGACGAGGACGAGGGACGAGGACGAGGACGAGGACGAGGACGAGGACGAGGACGAGGACGAGGACGAGGACGAGGACGAGGACGAGGACGAGGACGAGGACGAGGACGAGGACGAGGACGAGGACGAGGACGAGGACGAGGACGAGGACGAGGACGAGGACGAGGACGAGGACGAGGACGAGGACGAGGACGAGGACGAGGACGAGGACGAGGACGAGGACGAGGACGACGAGGACGAGGACGACGAGGACGAGGACGAGGACGAGGACGAGGACGAGGACGAGGAGACGAGGACGAGGGACGAGGACGAGGACGAGGACGAGGACGAGGACGAGAGGACGAGGACGAGGACGAGGACGAGGACGAGGACGAGGACGAGGACGAGGACGACGAGGACGAGGACGAGGACGAGGACGAGGACGAGGACGAGGACGAGGACGAGGACGAGAGGACGAGGACGAGGACGAGGACGAGGACGAGGACGAGGACGAGGACGAGGACGAGGACGAGGAGGACGAGGACGAGGACGAGGACGAGGACGAGGACGAGGACGAGGACGAGGACGAGGACGAGGACGAGGACGAGGACGAGGACGAGGACGAGGACGAGGACGAGGACGAGGACGAGGACGAGGACGAGGACGAGGACGAGGACGAGGACGAGGACGAGGACGAGGACGAGGACGAGGACGAGGACGAGGACGAGGACGAGGACGAGGACGAGGACGAGGACGAGAGGACGAGGACGAGGACGAGGACGAGGACGAGGACGAGGACGAGGACGAGGACGAGACGAGGACGAGGACGAGGACGAGGACGAGGACGAGGACGAGGACGAGGACGAGGACGAGGACGAGGACGAGGACGAGGACGAGGAGACGAGGACGAGGACGAGGACGAGGACGAGGACGAGGACGAGGACGAGGACGAGGACGAGGACGAGGACGAGGACGAGGACGAGGACGAGGACGAGGACGAGGACGAGGACGAGGACGAGGACGAGGACGAGGACGAGGACGAGGACGAGGACGAGGACGAGGACGAGGACGAGGACGAGGACGAGGACGAGGACGAGGACGAGGACGAGGACGAGGACGAGGACGAGGACGAGGACGAGGACGAGGACGAGGACGAGGACGAGGACGAGGACGAGGACGAGGACGAGGACGAGGACGAGGACGAGGACGAGGGACGAGGACGAGGACGAGGACGAGGACGAGGACGAGGACGAGGACGAGGACGAGGACGAGGACGAGGACGAGGACGAGGACGAGGACGAGGACGAGGACGAGGACGAGGACGAGGGACGAGGACGAGGACGAGGACGAGGACGAGGACGAGGACGAGGACGAGGACGAGGACGAGGACGAGGACGAGGACGAGGACGAGGACGAGGACGAGGACGAGGACGAGGACGAGGACGAGGACGAGGACGAGGGACGAGGACGAGGACGAGGACGAGGACGAGGACGAGGACGAGGACGAGGACGAGGACGAGGACGAGGACGAGGACGAGGACGAGGACGAGGACGAGGACGAGGACGAGGACGAGGACGAGGACGAGGACGAGGACGAGGACGAGGACGAGGACGAGGACGAGGACGAGGACGAGGACGAGGACGAGGACGAGGACGAGGACGAGGACGAGGACGAGGACGAGGACGAGGGACGAGGACGAGGACGAGGACGAGGACGAGGACGAGGACGAGGACGAGGACGAGGACGAGGACGAGGACGAGGACGAGGACGAGGACGAGGACGAGGACGAGGACGAGGACGAGGACGAGGACGAGGACGAGGACGAGGACGAGGACGAGGACGAGGACGAGGACGAGGACGAGGACGAGGACGAGGGACGAGGACGAGGACGAGGACGAGGACGAGGACGAGGACGAGGACGAGGACGAGGACGAGGACGAGGACGAGGACGAGGACGAGGACGAGGACGAGGACGAGGACGAGGACGAGGACGAGGACGAGGACGAGGACGAGGACGAGGACGAGGACGAGGACGAGGACGAGGGACGAGGACGAGGACGAGGACGAGGACGAGGACGAGGACCGAGGACGAGGACGAGGACGAGGACGAGGACGAGGACGAGGACGAGGACGAGGACGAGGACGAGGACGGAGGACGAGGACGAGGACGAGGACGAGGACGAGGACGAGGACGAGGACGAGGACGAGGACGAGGACGAGGACGAGGACGAGGACGAGGACGAGGACGAGGACGAGGACGAGGACGAGGACGAGGACGAGGACGAGGACGAGGACGAGGACGAGGACGAGGACGAGGACGAGGACGAGGACGAGGACGAGGACGAGGACGAGGACGAGGACGAGGACGAGGACGAGGACGAGGACGAGGACGAGGACGAGGACGAGGACGAGGACGAGGACGAGGACGAGGACGAGGACGAGGACGAGGACGAGGACGAGGACGAGGACGAGGACGAGGACGAGGACGAGGACGAGGAGACGAGGACGAGGACGAGGACGAGGACGAGGACGAGGACGAGGACGAGGACGAGGACGAGGACGAGACGAGGACGAGGACGAGGACGAGGACGAGGACGAGGACGAGGACGAGGACGAGGACGAGGACGAGGACGAGGACGAGGACGAGGACGAGGACGAGGACGAGGACGAGGACGAGGACGAGGACGAGGACGAGGACGAGGACGAGGACGAGGACGAGGACGAGGACGAGGACGAGGACGAGGACGAGGACGAGGACGAGGACGAGGACGAGGACGAGGACGAGGACGAGGACGAGGACGAGGACGAGGACGAGGACGAGGACGAGGACGAGGACGACGAGGACGAGGACGAGGACGAGGACGAGGACGAGGACGAGGACGAGGACGAGGACGAGGACGAGGACGAGGACGAGGACGAGGACGAGGACGAGGACGAGGACGAGGACGAGGACGAGGACGAGGACGAGGACGAGGACGAGGACGAGGACGAGGACGAGGACGAGGACGAGGACGACGAGGACGAGGACGAGGACGACCGAGGACGAGGACGAGGACGAGGACGAGGACGAGGACGAGGACGAGGACGAGGACGAGGACGAGGACGACGAGGACGAGGACGAGGACGAGGACGAGGACGAGGGACGAGGACGAGGACGAGGACGAGGACGAGGACGAGGACGAGGACGAGGACGAGGACGAGGACGAGGGACGAGGACGAGGACGAGGACGAGGACGAGGACGAGGACGAGGACGAGGACGAGGACGAGGACGAGGACGAGGACGAGGACGAGGACGAGGACGAGGACGAGGACGAGGGACGAGGACGAGGACGAGGACGAGGACGAGGACGAGGACGAGGACGAGGACGAGGACGAGGACGAGGACGAGGACGAGGACGAGGACGAGGACGAGGACGAGGACGAGGACGAGGACGAGGACGAGGACGAGGACGAGGACGAGGACGAGGACGAGGACGAGGACGAGGACGAGGACGAGGACGAGGACGAGGACGAGGAATTTTACCAACATTTTATAACTTTGTGTGTTAATTGGGTGACTGACTAACTTATCGTTTATCGTTTCTTATTTGCTCCGTAAAGTGATATAACCATCTATGTAGTTAATATTGAATAGTATGATGATGTAACGTGCTTCACGTTTCACGAGATATTTATAGGAAAACCCAGTAACTTCACTTCGGAAAGGATTTGAAAAATCTTTCTCTGGTCTAGGGGAATATTGTATATTGAATATTACAAATGGGTATAAAACTAATAAAAATTCAACTTACCTGATAAAACACAGATGCCTACAAACCAACTATTATTTTTTATGGGTATCGTAATCATTTTGATTTTAAATATTTAAAATATGCACAATTCGTTATTTGTTAATAGTCCTTTAAAAACTTTTTCAATGATAATATCTACATTTTACTAAAAAGATAGCTTTTAAATAATGGAAAATAAAGTACAGAAAAATTACTTTCAAATATACAACTTATACATACATTTGAGTAGCATCTTTAAAGACAAATAAAGTAATATTGTGAATAAGACATATTTAAATATGTTTATTACTTATCTGCTTTAACGTATCTTTAAATAAAAACTAGACTAGATTATAATTTTGTTAAAATTACAATTAATTTATTGTGTAAATTTATTTAACTTTTACTATTCCTACCTTAATAAAGATGATACTTTTTTAAAAAAAGAATTATATTTTATTTTATGTAATGCTTATGATATAACTATATAGAATAATTTGGAGAAATCGACAAATATGGAACGAACTAGTGTTTTTGAGCCTAGAGCATAATCTGCATAATCTTGTGACCCATCAAATAGCACCCGGTATCTCCGAAACTGAAACAGGGAATAAACTGAAAGTGTACGGATTTATAGACTAGAAGTAGCTCTACAAAGTCACAAATAATGCTTTATCGTTCCCATACATTTTTAGTTGTAGCACAGATTAACCACAACAGATGCGAAACCCGGCAAAAGATCAAAGGATTTTGAAATGAGATTTCTATGACCTTGGACTTTAAATGGGTATGGTATAGATGTTGCCAATTTTAATTATTTTCAGTCAGTTTTACTAAATATGACTTTCTTCTAAACAAGGGTTTTGGATGCCATGGTTGGTTTAGGTAATTAATGGATTAATGCATAGTAGCAGCACGAGTTAAAAAAAGTTGTCGATAGGATTTTCATTTTTAAACATTTTAAAAGAAGCAGAATATGATTTATAATAATATTTTCAAAATTTTATTATAGGTAAAAAAATATAACAAGCAACGAATTATAATGTAAAGGTTTTAAAAATTTGTTAAGCGGGCTTTATTAGCCATAAAATCTAGTTAAAGGCCTTCATTTTCCCTTTAATGTGTTGAAATAAATATATTGGCAATTAATAGCCTATTGATGGAAAATTAACGGGAAATTGCAGGCTTTTTATCATATTAATACTAACTGCTGAATAAAAGCCATGTGCTAGGTATAATTCGATAGTGCCTCTTTGACCAGTAGTACTGTTTGAAGTATAAATATAAAACCGAATGCATTCTAATATACCTAGAATATTGTAGATATTTAATTCAGCTATATAATATATAATAGAGATAAAATGTCTTCCACAAAATGTATATTCATAAAATATTCTAAATTAATAACATGCATGAGTAAGAAATTACAATGAATAGTGAATACCAACAATCCGAAACTGTCCTCATGTCCACCTCGTTGAGTATGTAGCAAGTGATCTATGAACGCGGGGCAGAACCCTCTTGGACTGTTAGAGGGTTGGGTCTGCGATAGTTAAAAGCCTTTTGACTTTTACCTCGCTCTTACCCAATCATCAACCAACATAATGCTGCGTCACTATCAAAAGGAGAACAGTAGGCTTTTATTTTTTAATCCTCGCATTCATTTTTGCTTCAATTACAGCAAAAGGATTTATATTTCAAACGTCAATAGTATTTTGAACTATAATTTCAATTTTCAGTCTTTTTTGTTGGGTTTTCTCGTTTAATTTTATTTTTGAGTTCCTTTGTGTTATTTGTGTTAATACTTTCGAAACTACATACTAGTGTAGTCGCATTAGTGAAGTGTCTTTCCAATGGGGGAGGCACTCTCCCCGGGAACGCTTTTCGGAGTCCCTAATCGTGTTGTTCTAAGTGATGATAAAATGATGAATGATATTAGCAATTAAACGCAGATGGAATATATTCCAGTAACCAAAACCCTAAGAGAAGATAGAGAAATAAGTGATACTATGAGCGGTAATGTAATCAAAAATATAAATGAAGCAAATGTAAGTCAAATTAGTTCTGTTAATAGTTCTTTTATTGCAAATTCAACAAATTCAACTAGCAAAGACGGAACCAATGTTACTGATAAAATCTCAGAAATCAATGGTGATAAACCAATGAATTCTCCTTCAATCAACAAGAGAGAAATATACTTAGTTCAGTGGAGTGACCTAGCTACTTATTTTTAAACGATGACAGTACTTTATAATGGGTTACCCATGAAGGAAGGATTATTAAGAGTTGCCGTTTCTTTGTAGAAATTTGGCCTTGATGGACGTTTGCTTTCTAAACCCAACAATTTTATGGATTTAGGGGTTACATTTGACCCAGTATTGTCGTTTAAATACCACATAGATAACATCTCAACAGCTGCAAATCGTATGTATGGATTCATAGTACGAGTGGGCCGTGATTTTAAAAACACAGATACTATTAAATCATTGTATTTCTCATTTGTTCGATCTAAACTCGAATATGCCTCGTTTATTTGGGATCCTTATTATCAAATACACATTTGTCGGATAGAGTCCACACAAAGGCGTTTCCTCAAATACTTAAGTTTTCGGGCAGACCAAATTTATCCACCGATTGGTATTACTCAAAATGCTTTACTGACTAGACACAGATTGACAAGTCTCGACGTAAGACGAAAGTACTTCTCCATAATTACCCTCTACAAAGTTGTTAATTTTAAAATCAATTGTGAAGCTCTTTTACATATGCTTAATTTTAGAATCCCACGCGCAACCTCTCGAAACACTGAATCATTTTACATAGCGACTCCTCGGACAAACGTTCTGAAGTTTTCACCTGTATATAACATGTGTAATAATTATAATAATATTAGTGAACAGTTGGATATATTTAATTGCAGTGTTAAAAACATAAAAACACATTGTTTAAAATAATTTTGAATTTATTTACTGTAATTTTAGATTAATTATCTATATGCCTTTTGTTAAACTGTTTTCTTTCAAATGTACTCCTGTTCTGTAATTGGGTTTAACCTGTTGAACAATGTATAAATAAATAAATAAATAAATAAATAAATAAATAAATAAATAAATAAACACGTTTGCTTGCAGCGACCTGTGGAGGGGGAGGAGTAGAACTAATCTTACTCTGTCAGTATGTTCCTCTGTAGCCACTTTTTCAAAATTTAAGAAAATTTTGATGGCAATAAATCGGAAAATTTTGTTTTTATAAAGATTTTAAAAATTGAGAAAATAATTAAATCAAATTTCGGAATAGTGGCTCCAGAAAAACGGACATTTCACTTTTACCTAAAGGTACATATTTTGCATACACTAAAAAGTAAAATTAAACTATACTCGTAGAAATATTTATGGTTCTATTTTAAACTATTTCATGAAATTTTGAAAGAAATTCAATAACATTTCTTTGTACATAAATAAAACGTCTTTTATCATCATTTTCTTTAAAATAAGTAAAAGTATCGATGGTCTGCTAACATGTCTGTAAATTAACTTTACACTTTTTGCAGTCAAAACTATTAAGTTTCTTAATAAACCCTGCAACATAACTAGTGGCCTGACTCAAATTCTGCTTCATTTATTAATTTTGTATATATTATTAAAATGAACTTTATCTTCACAGGACTCTGGAGGTGTGATAACAATATTACTAAGTACTACTATCTTTGATGTATCTGGTTTTGAAGATGCTAAAGCAAGGCAAAGCAAATCTTTTAGCTGTCTTGAACGATTTGTGTTTGTAAACGATTTTGTATCAAAATATGATTTTCACATAATGTATAATGATTGGTTGTAAGTGGAATGAGTGGAATGTTTAAAATGCGACACCATTCCTTTCTTTGATCAATATCACAAGGAAATTTAAAAATGTTTGTTCTTAAAATTTACGTTTGAAATGGGCTTTATAAAATGTATTATAACAATTAGAAATTATGCGTTTATAATGAATTCTGCCTGGTAAAGACATGTTAAAGCATCAAAATACCTTTATTTAATTTTAAATAATCCTAAATAACATATCTAAAAAAATAAATAAAAGTAGTTCCACTCACATGTTTTCGTCGACAACCAAAACCATAACACAACCACACATTTGTTCGATTTTGAAGTTATTTGTTGACAGCGCGCGCGGGCAGCCAGCAGTCATGCAGCGGACAGAAGGCCATCTTCACATAGTACAAATAACTAAGTGAAGGCGTTTTTTTTTAGTTTGTTGTAATATATGAACTCAAATTTTTGAAACAATACTTTTTGTGTGTTACTGAACGAGATGTTATTAAATTAATCAATGTGCTTTACATTTTAATGCAATTTTGCTGTTGTAAAACGGACTTCAGAGCACCCAAGCGCGAAGTTGCATGCGCAGAAACGTGTTTACGTATTGTGCATATGATATTAACCCCCGTGGGGTTACCTTTAGTTTATCACGCTTTGTTCGCGGAGCCTGTCGGCGACATGTCATAGTCAGATGAGCATCCGCAGTTCGATTTTTAGCGTTCGTAGAGCTGAAAATCGAAATGAGCATGCTAGTGCATTATTGCAATACGGTTGCTCGATTTGAGCCGTTCGGCTCGATTTGTTCGTTTTTCGGCCAGACTATTATGCATTACATCACAACGTTTTGCTATAAGTCAGTCTCAATGTTTAAATTATTATTTCTAAAAATTAATAAATAGTAAGTAAATAATGTTTATTAAATTAAATAGTACTAAGCATACAGCAAATTGCAGATAAGTAAGGCAAATATTATGTTCAACGTCACAAAACGGGTATTTTGAAAAGTAACAGCGATATTTTAATTCTGTAGAAGTCTATTTGCTGAGTATTAAGAGAGCTTGAGTTTTGGCAGATACCATTGTAAAGGCAGTATTGTTTCCAATATGTGCTACGTTTTAAATATCCTCCCATCGAAAAAAAAAACTCCATCTACATATTGACATATTATTTAAAATAAAGTATTATCGAAAACTGAGGTTTTCTTAATGTTCTGCAAACTTATAATAATAATAATAATAATAATAATAATAATAATAATAATATTTTTTAACCACATAATATAATACAGTACATTTGTGCCAATGTGAAGGCTTGGCTGGAATGAGGTTTCTGACATTGGGCGAAGAAAAGCCAATTGCATGCAACTACATACGGGAGCCACTGTCAAAGCTACTAAGTCTAATAAAAAAGACCAGGCTAGACGACATACTCTAAAACAAACGGAGTCCCACAATAGATCTGAAAAGGTCGCGGTGGACAAGGACAAATAACGTCCAACTCCTAATCTAATCTAATCTAATCTAATCTAATCTAATACAGTATGTTTTTATCTTAATTAATAAACACAGTAATCCACTGAAATAACTTTTAGTTATTTGTGTGTGGTAAAATTAAAATTGACAGGAAAAACAATATTAATCAAAGTTTAAATATGATAAATTACTTATTTCTAACTACATACTATAAATTTATATTGTATACAAAATGTTTTAAATTACTAAACGCGCCAATCAGGTAAGTATACTCACATCTTTAACATTCCCCTATTTCAGTAATTTACCATAAATATTATATATATATTTTTATAAGGTACTTTAAAATTAGATTATATATTTACAATAATTTACATTTCTATGTATTTATGTATTTCTGTTCTAGGTGTAGTGTCCATGAAATTTTTTAATCTGTGTTTAAATGAGGACAGTGTTGAAGCCTTTTTCACAATTTCCGGCAGTGAATTGAATGTTTTAGGTCCTAAATATTCAAAGTTTCTTTGACCAACTTTTTTATTTTTATATGGTAGTATAAATTGATTTTTTTGTCTGGTTGGGTATGGATGTAATGCTATTTTTAAATCAAATCTGTTGTTATATTGCGTAATAGCTAGTTGTAATATAATTGATTTATATCATATAGTTTTGTGTCAGAAAATAGTTTACAACTCGAATATCTCGGATGTACATTTAATATCAACTTTAAGAATTTTTTTTTGTGACACTTTTAGCATATTGCGATATGTTGTTGTTTAGCCACCCCAGCCTATGATGCCATAATTTAGATGAGATTCTATTAAACTCTGATACATAATTTTTTTTTGTTTGAAATCAAGGAAAGTGGTAACTTGTATGAATCTAAAGAGCAAGAATCCCAATTTTTTAAAAGATAGTAGATATGCTCATCCCATCTTAAGTGAGGATCTATTACAATACCGAGGTATTTAACTTTTTTTGCAGGTTTTATGATAATATTATCATTAATCTTTATATCAAACTCTGGAAGAGATGATGCCAAACTACTGAATGGTAAGTATTCTGTTTTATTTATATTTAGTGATAGAGCTCTGTGGTCAAACCATTTTTTAAGTCTTATTAAGTCTGCTTCTACTTGTTCTTTTAACGAAAACCAATCAGAATTTTTGTAGAAAACTACAGTGTCATCTGCAAAACTAATGATTTGGCCTTCTCGTTCGAGAAGAAATATATTATTTAGACATATCGAAAATAGTATTGGACCCAAAACTGTGCCTTGAGGTACACTACATTTAATTTTTTGTTCTTTACTAATTTGATTGTTTATTCTAGTATGCTGTCGTCGGTTTGTTAAATAACTTTCAAAATACCTAAGTGCTGTGCCTCTTATACCTAAATCTTCGAGTTTTTTCAATAATATGTTATGATCTACAATATCAAAAGCTTTACGAAGATCTATAAAAACTGCTAAAGATGATATGCTATTATTCAAACAATTATAAATCTTTTTTGTCAAATTTAGTATGGCTTTTACAGAGTGTTAAAAATCTGTATATCTTTCCTAAATATTCGGCCTTGAAGGGCCGTTCTTAGCCCTTCTGTCGCCTTTGTGTAGCAAAATAAAAAAAAATAAAAATTATGAAACAAATATATTTATTAAATAGTCACTTATATAATATTTAACAAACATGAACCATAACATATAAATAATTTTAAACATCTTTTAAAAAAATGCAATTGTTTTGTTTGTATAAGACAGAACTTTGTCTACAAAATGCTAAGGATTGCCTAGCTAAAAATCGGATAATGGCAATAAGCCTTTTTAAGATGGAGCGCCAGCATTCCGTTCCAAGTTGAAAATAATTTTGTTTTTCTTTGTCAATTAACGAACTCCTTAACTCAACCCAATTTTTTTACTAACTTTCAGATGTTCCACTGTGGATTTATGTTTAAACAAAATATGTCAGTACAACTCATTTTGCCGTTTAAATTTAAGTTAAATGTTTTGCTATAAAAAGAGTACCTAATTTGCTCTGCATGAATACACTAACCAAACTCTTTTCATTTTCTCTTCAATTTGGCAAAATACGACAAATAAGTACTGACTTGGAGAATATTATAAAATGGTAATCCATTCAGATTTCATGCAAGTATAGATGCGATATAATTATCTAATTTTACAGTTATTAAGTGAAGGGGTTAGAACCATAACAATATAAGTGACATGAAGGTGATTTCCAGATATTCCACTTTAAAGTATTTTGATAATTGTGAAATATTGGCGCAGTCAACTTTTAAGGTGGTATAAATGGTAGTAACTGTTTCAAGTCATTCCATTTAGCAGAAGTAATTTTTTGCACTGGAGTAGTGTCATTAGTCTTTATTTCACCGGCTATAATGGTGGCCCTTGTTATACCCACCTTTGCACATTTCTCGGAGCGAGAAAAAAGAAAATCAGCATTCAAAGTTTCTTTAAAGGCAAAATTTAAAAAATGTTCCTTGTCATACTGAAACCATACAACTGGTCGCAGTTTAAGAGCTTCAAAAGTTGTTTTCTTTGATGCTTTTTTCAAAATTCTTGATGCTTGCAAAACTTGTATAGCAGTTGCTACTTCTTGATCGGTAAATTTGGGATCTTTCATAGATTTGTTGAGAAACTGGAAAGAGATAAATGACTCCCTATCCATATCACAAAAATTGAAATTTGTGGACGTTTTTTCAATAATCTCACTCCAGTCACTGGGAACGAATACATGAGAAATCTGTTTCTATTAAGCCAAATGATCTGTCACATTCCATGTACGAATGTCCTGGCACGAAAAATTTATGTTCTATTGTCTCTATTTTCTTATTCTTTTGTACTAGGTACACGAAAAGCCTAATTAAATTTTTATTTTTGTTTTGACCCCCACAAGAGTTGCTGTAAAATATTATGTGATTAACTGTTTCTGGAAGAGATTCAATAAATTTATACAAACATGAAGCTACTTCTCTTGAACCACGGGAGGCTATCGTTTCATTCCAGACATACATATTAGATATTTTTGAAGTACAATCATAAATGCATAGATTGTAGGTCCACAACTGCCTAAGGTAATAAATTTTATTTGTTTGGAGTAGGGAGTAGGAAGTGTTTGTTGTAAGTCGAAACACAAAACGCGGCAGTTTGTGTTTTGTTTAGCGTAGCTGATGTCTTTTTCTTTACTTCTAGCCACTTTTTCTGCTTTTCGATGATGAACTTCTAATTCTGTCTTTAGAGTCTTACGAAGATTCTCGTCATCTACAAATTTGTTTTTGGTTGTTTAAGCGGTCACAGGTATTACAGGTGTCAGTATGCGGTTTATAGAATTTTAAATTAAATTCGGTACAATAGACATGTCTGTAGTAAGATTCTTTTACCGGAGTTATTTCTCTTTCGGTACACCATTCGCAATATAGTCTGTACAGTACAGAAATATTGAGTGTCTCCGACAAATATCTCGTGTTCTCGTTTTGAGCTCTCGAATAATGACTCTTGTACCTAGGGAACTGATTATTGTGAGCTACAACTTCATTTTTCTTTTCGATTGGAAGTTTATTTCTAGGTGGATGTTTGCCACGTTTATCCAGTTCGACAAAACCTTCTTGTGAAATTTTATTTGAAACAGTTGCATATCGTCTATTTAAAATATCTAATGTTTTTAGAAAAAATTCTTTGCACACTCGATAATTACAAAGAGTTATCTTAGTCACAAAGCTTTTAGTCGTAACTGCTCCTTGCTTTCTGCGTGTTGGCGCTTTTTTTAGAGATACAGCTTCCAATGAAATTACTTTGTAAATCGTAGCTTGGTAGTTCATAGAACTTCTTAAACACATTTTTTCGTTCGTCTTCAGTAATTTTGTTACAGTCATATCTGCAAGTATGGTGATACTCACGTAACCGGTGAGCTGGTACGAGTTTTCTACGAGTATTTGTATATTCTTTCCCTTTACTACGTAATGTTTTTCTTTTTACTTTTTCCCACACTATCGTTTCCACCTTGCGCTTTCTTGTCCTTCTAGGAGTACTACTATAAACTGGGATATGTGCATCATTATTTTCTATTTCGTAATCAAACACCTCGTCTGGTACGATTTCATCGTCAGTACTCAAATCCCTCTGTGGATCATTTAATTCTTCACGATTGTAGTCACTATCTGCGTCAGTAGCATATGGATCTTCTTCACTACCACTATCACTACATGCATCTTTTTCAGTACTGAAACTCGCTAAAACAAAAAATATGCTTCAATATAGGCGTGTATTTTTAGGTTAGAATAATGCAAAACCTATTAAAAATCTTAAAAATGATATTTTTTCAATTTTTTTTTACAAAAATTCTAGCCATACTTGCCTATTTTATTGCACCAATAGCACAGTCACAATATTTCTAAATAAAATACAAATCCACGAATGAAAATAATCACACAATCTTGTTGTACCAAGTTCTTTATTGTAGAATGTACTTAATATAATTCAGTAACAAAACGGTACAAGTGCGCTTATACCTAATTGCCACAAAGAAATCTACATAAAAATTTTAGTAAGTCATGGTCACACACCAATAGATGTCGCAAAGTGTATTAAAATCGCTTGTATCGATATGCCACTAAAATTATATACCATTTAATATACTAAATATGTACTTAACTCAAATTAAGCAACAATGTCACTTATACCCTTATGGTTCTAACCTCTTCCTAATTATAATCTTTGGGTCGCTTTTTTACTTGGATGAAATACGATAAAATTACCTTTTCGACAAAAACAAAGAAAAAACAAAAATTTTGCATTTTAATCGAAAGACCAGGTATTTTTAAACCGAATACATAGTTTTAACTTAATTTTAACAAAAATTAAGTTACGACGTTCTTATTTGCGAGCGTCGTTATATCTAAAGATTGAGAGTCCTTACAATTTGCTTACTTTTTGAAAGATAAGATTTTATCCAACTTAGCGCTTCGTCTCCGATTCCATAAACTCAAAGTTTTTGGAACAATACTGTATGATTGACATAATCACATTATATTTTCGCTACAGCTTCGTTAAAATTATTTTTAGAATAAGCACGTTCAAGACAAGAAAATACTGTAACAAGCAAAACCATTGTTTTAAATGAACACATACTTTTTGTTGACCCTATTGGAACATACGTCAAACAAATTTTGATTGATTCCAAAAAACTTTTTAGTATGAAACTTTATGGACTACCAATATTAATATTTCTACAATAACATTTTATTTTATGAAATTAGGACCAGTAATTCCTTCAAGTTTACGCTGAATTTCAATAAAGCTCTTCCCTTTTGTTTCTGGCACCATGAAAATCACAAAAGGTAGAGCACAAGCTACGACGACCGAAAATACCCAAAATGAGACCTCTAAACTAAACTTAGCCCAAAACCGAGGAAAAACAAAAGTTACTAGAAAGCTCATAATATTCATTATAAACGCAATTAATGGGTTTAGAATAAACTTATAATTTGATGGAAAAATTTCACCAGCTATGGTCCACGAAATAGGTCCTGCTCCTAACTTAAAACTCATCATATACCCTATAATATTAGTCACGGGTAACCAAAATAAAAAATCTATATTGACGTTTTTATTTTGCAAATGGAAATATAGACCTAAACTAAGTAATGATAATAACTGTCCCGTGTAAGAGGATATTAATAGTATTCTCCTGCCAAAGCTGTCCACTAATTTTGAAACTAAAAATATTGCCACTAATGAGACTAACGCAACAATCATTACAGCCTTATCTGCAGGCAGCGGGGAGTTAGATTCGTCTAGTATAGACTGCTGATAAGCAAATATAGCATTTATACCATTAAATTGTTGAAAAAACATAAGACAAAATGATATAAAAAAACTTTTTTGTACCGTTTTAGCCTTTAAAAAAGCACCGAAAGAAAACTGACTTTCTGAATCGTTAACAGATTTTACAATATCCTCTAATTCATCGTTTACATCATCATTTTGTCTCAATTTAACTAGAATAGTATGTGCTTCTTTTAAATCGTTCTTTTTTATGAAGTAATATGGACTTTCAGGTATAAAAATGCCGAAAATAATTAAAAATAATATTGATGGTACTAAAGAGATCATAGCAAGCGTTGCTATTGTCACGTATGATCCAATTACAAACACAAAATCTTGTGTTACCGTTATCATTAGTGGCATTAACATGCTAGTTCTACCCCTATGTGTGGTTTCAGTTATTTCTGCTACATACATAGGAACTATTGAAAATACACATCCTGTTCCAATTCCCATTAAAAATCTAGCTATATAAAATAATGTAACGCTATTAGCAAATATTAGTAAAATATTTGATATCATCTGCGGTATGGAAAATAATAACAACGTTTTCTTTTTTCCAAACTTGGCTGCTACGATTCCAGTCAAAAGTGGTCCACAGATAGCTCCAAGGCAATGAAGCGACGTTATCCAGGATATTTGCTCTACACTAGCCGATTGTGGTAAAGGATTAGAATCTGGATCTACTTTACCTGTGAGTTTGGGAATACACGGAGACGACCAGGCGTATCCAACTCCTGCTAACACTGACATCAAATTAACTGCAATATTAAGTATTAGGATATAAATACGTTTATAATTTAACACAAATATAGAATATCCCAGTTATCTTGGACCTTAAAATATGATCAATTATGACCCTAATTTGATGTCCATACCTATTTTTAAGAATATTTACAATGATAAGAGTCATAATGAGTCCAAAACAAGCACACAATTCTTAAGAAATTCATAGGGTCTTACCAGTGCTAAACAAAATCGGCGACGACAAGAAATGAACACACGCTTTAAGCCAACGTAGCAACATGAAACTTTGGATGTGCATTAAGCAACGTTGCCAAAATTACTCTGTATCATGGACAATCACTATCGCGTGGCCAATGACTGTATCATTTACCCTACCTAGCTATTTTCTGTAAATGACATTAAAAATGTAAAAAACGTACTTCTCATCTATTGAATTGTTATTAACGATAAAAAAATATCTTTAATTTATTAAAACAAAAATAAAACCTGAATCGATAACTTAAATTACTGAAAATAAGTTTCTTGAGATGGGGTCGTTTTTATGGAAAATTTTAGTCTTAATACTTTACTAATAAAACTACAGTTAATTCGATTTTCTTCTTGTTGAGTTTCAAAAATATTAATTTATCGCGATTTAAAAACAAATACATGAAATGGGCAAAATAGGCCCGCAAAGGCACTTTGTGCACAATCTCACCTGTATCGTCTTCAGCGAATTCAATTTGGCTTACTTTTGTTAATAGAGACAGGCGTCCCATGTTAAATATACAGTTCACTAGGAAAATATTATTTAAATATACACGGACCGGGAAAACAAGTACGAAAAAAATTCAATGGCTTCTGGACTAGTACTGTATCGAAGGAATTTTATGAATGAAACAAATTACGACCCTACTTACAAATACTACAATAACGGTCTAGTTTAGTTAAGCTGTTGTCAGACGTAATTTTTTTTTTTTTGATAATATAAAGACTTAACAGTATTGCAAGCAAACGTAATTACATTACTACAGTTAAAAACATCGCAAACTTGGCATCAATGTTTTATCCAAATATTGCAGTTGTGCCGAGGATCATCCGCGCTGACTTCAGACTTCATATCTGTCTTGGTTATATATCTATGGTTAAAAGCATCGTAAACTTGGCATGAATGTTCAATCAGATTATTGTGTTTCTGCCGCGGACGCCACCGTTGATGTAAATAATCCTATGTGTCTGTATATATCTGTGGAATTATTTCTTTCAATACCTATTAATGTTTTTTTTTATTGTAATAACGTTAAAAGCGACAGTGTTTGTGTTGGGTCAGTTATAACCGCCACATCAGTCCATAATTTTTTTTACTCAAATACCATTTAAAGATACATGTTTTTTACCAGGAGGCAAAAAATGCTACAAATAACTAGAGATCTCTAAAAAAAAAATTGAGGAAACAGGGGCGACCCTCAAAAAAAAAATACAATGTCAATTATGGTAGGATTAGGGTGGTTTTTACCCCTCCATGATTTCAGTTGGTGTAATTTTTGCATTTAACTATGGCTCTTCAATTAAAATAGCTACATACCAAATTTTTTATAAATCAAACGCAGCGTTTTGGAGTTATTTAAAAAAATTGAAAATTTTCTTCCAACTTTGACTCTTCCTCTCAGGTAAACAAAGCACTTTAATGTAGGTAATTTTAGCTCAATCGACTTATTTTGATCTCACCAATATAAAGTAGCTCTATGTACATGGAATTTTAGGACACCCTGTATATGTTGTTCGTGTAAGATCCATATTAAATTTATTTCTAAAGACTATAAAGAGTGGTCCATCTAGTGGTTTCTTTTTAAAATTTAAAAAAAATTAATTACTTGTTTATTTGAAAGAGCAATATTTCCATTATTTAGGAACACGATTTCATTCAGGAGGCTGTCTTGGCTAGCTTCGCAGTAGTTCATCCTGTTAACCCAATATTCCAAGACATTGGTGACGGTTTCTGGCTCTATCTCACGAATGGCTTGCTCGATATTCACCTTAAGGGCCTGCATTGTTGATGGATTGTTGGCCTAATATCGGTCCTTTACGGCACTTCACAAAAAAAAGTCTAAAGTCTAAAGGCGTCAAATCGCAGCTGCGAGGTGGCCAATTGACATCGCCGAAACGGCGGATAACACGATTATCGAAGTTGGTGTGCAAAAGATCGACTGTGGCATGAGCTGTGTGGTATGGCGCGTCATCCTGCTGAAACCAAAGATCGTCCAATTCTATATCTTTAATTTCTGGTCACAAAAAATTGTTTATTATGCCTCTGTAGCGCTCACCGTTGAATGAAATTGCGTTGCCAACAGCAGTGATGCCACCGCTCCAAAATCCGCACCAAACTGTCACACTCTGAGGATGCATTGCGTCCTCGACGATCACGTGAGGGTTTTCCGATCTCCAGATGCGGTAGTTTTTCTTGCTAACAAAGACGCCGAGATCAATATGAAGATAATTGTTCAAGCAAAATCATTGTCCATATATCGAGCTACTCTAAGACCCAAACTGAGAAGCGATAACGTATCGGATGGTCGTGTACCTTCAAGTGCTGAGTCAATTGGAAAGGTCCATGGAGATAGTATATCAACCTTTTGTCAAGATTTCGAGCGGGAAAAAACTTTCAGTGTCAAAATAAAAACACTAGATGGACCACTCTTTATACCCTTGTTGAAGTGCAAATAAGCTCCATTAAAAATGCATCGAATTTTAAAAACATTAATATTTAAAGCACTAAAGTTAAACCGCAAATTCTAAAAATCAAACGGGTTCTGTTAGAAGAAATTATCAAAGCCAAATCCTCAAGTCAAACGGAGCTTTCGTTAGAGTATCGACATACATACGCAATTGCTGAAATAATGAACTCACAACCAGTTTCATGATGTTTAACCTTATGTACCTAGTTACATAGGAGCCGAATCCCCGGGACTCTGGGTGCGCAAGCACCCAGAGGAGCAGTTTTAAACTGGGCGTGGAGCACCCATAGCAGAATGTGGACAAAAAGTGCCAATAAGTGAAATAAAGAAGCTAACGTGGCCCAAGTTCGTAGAGCGACAGGATGCCTCAATGCGGCATTAGTTTTTCATTGGCTGTCAGAGTTGTGTACTGAGACGTTGCATGTTGCGATAATCCTAATGCAAAATATTAAAGCTTTCTTCTTTCTTAGGTTAGAAGTCGATTTTTCATTCGAAGTAATACAAGACGTCACTTTAAATTTATCTCTCTTAATTTTAACAAATACGTAACACGATGTGTTTAATAAAACGTATATTTCGAATTAGCACGGTTGCAAATTGGCATCATCGACAATACATTTTTAAATCTTAACAAGAGTTTTCTTAAATAATTAGGACACAAAAAATGATAAAAAGTTCATAACTTTTAAATATTTGTTAGATATCACTTATTAAAACATTATGCATTAAAATTAAAACAAACTATAGACTTTCCACCATTCTTTACCGTACTCTGAACTCATTTTAAAAACAATTTCTGAAATTATTATTGTTCGAAGTGTATTTTTTGTTATAAAAAAGTCGCCGTCAGTTGTCATTGACAGCGCGTTAAACTTGGACTTAAAGGATTATTATTCTTGTTATATAAAACCCTATGACTTCAAAAAAGAACGACTAATAACGGTCTACAATTACCAAGACAAGAGCTCTATACATATGCTATCGAGCAAATGCTTGAGGGGAGAAGGGAGAACATTTGGAAGTTGCTCCAGATTAAGTACCGTTAAAAAGGAACGTTCATTTAGAGTCAGAAACAGCTCTCTAGTAGTGCTCACGAGTAACATTTTTTGTCAGTTTTACCCCCTGAACGGAAACCCTCTAGCGGGGATGAGACTCAACCCTAAAATTTTAAAATTTTAAATTCAAAGAGGGGTCGAATGATATCTTATTTTAATGGTATTTTTACCTAGATTATAACCCCCGAGTTTTACATCGCTACTATCTATGTAGCCCATACAGTGGCTAACCAAAAGTACAAAACCGGTTTAACATAATCTTTACATTGTTGTTAAAAAATAAATTTTTTGTAACAATTCTAGTTTTATTGTTTTAGATGTAGTTTATTTCGTTATAGAGTCGGCATAAAAGTGGCATATCAGTGATAATGGTTTACTCAATTGCTGAGAGGGTGCAAAAATAATTTCACTTTTTTTTGCGAACAATGGATGTGCTAATAGAATTGCCCAACTGTTTAACAATCAAAATCGACATGTCCATCGCAAGTATATTTTAGGAAACAAGATCAGTAACTAACAAATAACGTCAATTGGAAAATGCTGTAGTAAATGGTGCAGAGGTGGCGTTTTTAGGGCATGTTGTTCAAGACCCACATTGAGCACAAGACAGTTGGCGATAACTTCTGGTATTAAGAGAAGTAGCACTCAGAAGATATTAAAAAAACACAAGTGTCATCCCTACAAAATACATCTGGTACAAGAACTTAACTAAGAATTTTGATAGGCGATTACAATTTTGTGAAATTATGACTGAACAAGCAATAAATGATTAGCAATTTCTTTTCAACGTGTGTTTTTCTGACGAATACACTTTTTTCCTAAATAGTACGGTAAATCGTGACAACTGTTGTTATTGGTCCGATTCAAATCCCAGAATATATCATGAACTGCATACGCAATAACCAGAAAAACTGAATATTTGAACTGGAATTTTTGGGAACCGTATAATTAGCCCCTTTTTTTACTTGGAACTCTAACCGCGAAAATCTATCTGAAATTATTAGAAAACGACATTGATCCAGCATTACTAGAGTTGATTGAGAATGACGATCAGTATATAGCAAACAACTTAATAGTCCAGCAAGACAGTGCGCCACCCCATTTTTCACTGACTGTTCGTTAGTATTTGAATCAAACGTTTCCAGGTCAATGGATCGGAAGAAGATGAAGTATTGAGTGGTCCCCACGGTCTCCGGATCTAACCCCGTTAGATTTTTTATGGGGCCACTTAAAACTTAAAATTCATGCTACCCAGCCAACATCACTGGAAAATCTGCGACAACGGATAATTGATGACACTAACGATTTAAAACTCGAGGGTTATAATCTAGGTAAAAATAGGATTTTAGAAGGAAGTTTCACCCCCGCTAATGGGTTTCCGTTCAATGGGTGAAACTGACAACCAAATATTTCCCCATAAAATCAAAAATTGTCGGGTTCGAGCGTATTTTCGTAAACGACCTGAGGTGCCCAAAACTGGCTCTGTTTCTTTTTCAAACGGTTACCCTGTATATATACAATACTCCGTTATGTGTATATTAATAAATATCAAAAATCTTCTAAATTCATGATAGTTAGTAAATGTTTTATATTGTGTTTCTACTTATTTCATTGATACTCTAGCACCGCAGCACCACTAAATACCAGTAATGGCTGCACCGAGCATATAGGGTTGTCAGAGACCAGATATCCCGATTTAGGGGGGAGCCTCAAGCATACCGATTGTTGATGCTGTCGCTTCCATTCTCAAAACTCCAGCAATTCGACAATGGACCATACTTTTTTTTTCAAGCAAGAAAATTATCATAAAGTCAACGCTTTAAAATGGCTTTTAAAGTGCTTTTAAAAACCGGTGGTGACCCTAAGTGTTGTGTGGAGGGGGGAAGGAGCTACCATTTCCCGCATAGATGTCGGGCACCCAAAGCAATTTTTGAGTTCCGGCGCCTATGCCTAGTTACATAATGTAGATCATTTTGAAACCTGAGGCAATTACAAAAAAAGTCACTTTACATGTTAAAATTAGAAAAATTATTTTAAATGAATAGGTAGTAAAAGTGACATTTTTGTGATTGATAATAGTCAATAACATGAAACATTTAATCGGAACAATCAAAAAATATATTTTACTATAAGTGAAAGTGATACTTTTGTGACGAGTTTGTTGATTTCCTGGATGAAATTGTATGCGAAAAATAGTAGTCTATTGAAAATGTACATCCGTGGGATATTCTGTATAAAAAAAACTAAAATATTACTTACCCGAAGCGGCTACTAAGTAAGAACGTTTTATCTTAATTTTAAAATTCTTCGGAATTGTCATTGTTTAAAAAAGAATAAAAGTCTAAAACATTCAAATTATTAAAAACTTATTAAAATGCTTTTAAATTTATGCATAAAATATAAAATAATGGAATTACTAAATAACTAATAATTAGATATAATCATACTTTTTATACATAGGAAAAAATCACTGATATCCAAACTTGACGAATTGGGTTATTTAAATGTATCTAATATTCAATTTATAAATTTTGGTTCGGTTTAAGAATAATATATTTATGTATTAATCACTTATCATTATTCCACTCAAAATCACATTGATTCCTATCAAAGGAAAAATATTTATACAAGGTTTTTCAATACCTACTAATATTAGAGTTTTTGTCGTGTGCAAATTTGCTTTTTTTAATAAAAATTTATTTGCCAGAAAAAATGGCCCGTCCTGTTGACTCATTTTTTCAAAAACACTTTTGGGATTATTTCAGATTTCACTATTATGAATGAACCGTGGTGCATTTTGTTATACTGCGTAGCACGTTGGATTGGAATCTTTGAAGATTTGATTTAGCTGTGGCTCCTCACAACTGTATCCCGTCGGTCCTTACTGGTCTGAAAACTGCTGTATATATTAGTTTATTTGTTAGAATGAGTTCCGACTGTCGTCCCTTGATTTTTTTAAATTTAATATTAAATTGTTTTAACTTATTAATAAGATGTGTTTCCCATGTCTCTTGTCTAGTTAAATCGCTAGGTATTTTACACAATCCCATTTGGGTAATATTTGCCCATTTACTGTTGTTTTAGCCTTGCCTTTATATTTTGTAAATGTTACTTGGGTTGATTTCATTTACCCAGACAGCACAAATAGATCCATTGGATGTCCATTCGATATACAATTTTGAATGTCTGGACGTCCAAAAATAATTTCCGGACTTCCGACATCCAATGGACGTCCAGTGAAGTATACAAATGGCACACTTTTTATCATTCATAGGACGTCCAATTCTGGATTATATTTGGACGTTGAATACTGGACATTCAAAAAACATCCATTCCTGGATTATATTCCATTGAGACCACATCCCCACTTTATCTTACACAACTCATTACATACTATTTTATATTACTAATAATTAATTTATTAGTTTCACAACCCGCTATATACCATTTATTAATTTTTTTATCAAAAATTACTTGACCTGAGCAGAGATCGAACTCACGACACGTCCATTATAGTTATAAACAATTCTTACTAGATACGGTTATAATAGAATAAGATTTCAAACTTTCACTGATAGAATGAAATGTAATAGGTATATTCAATTTTTTCAATTTTTAATTACCAATTCTAAAAAAAGGAAGTCTATATAGATGGTATTATCTGGTAGGCTAAATAAATAATGACCTAAAATGGATGTCAAAATAATACTAAACTTAACATTTAAGTCCAATAACAGACGTCCTCTGGGTATCGATATGCAACAGTCAAATTATTCGGTTTCCATTGTTTAGGTATGGTTTAAAATTATTGTAAAACTTCTCTCTAAGTCTATTTTAACATGTATTCTCTTGTAACATAAAACTATTAAAATAATGTTATAGATACTTTGCAGTGGCTAATTTAAATATTATTAATGATAGAACAAAATAAAAAATATAATATTTTTACTGATTTGGTATACAAGGTGAATCCTAAGATGAAACAATTTTTAAACTGTGTAAAATGAATAACTTTCTTAAATTAGTTTAAAAAAAAAATACTTAAAAATAATAAACTTACCTCAATTTATTCCAAAATGTATCCAATGATATATAACTTAAATAAGTGTAGAACTTTCGTCGAAAAATGTTTATCACATTTATGCCTAATTTCCAAGTTAGGTATGCAGATTTTATAAAAAACAACTCATGTTTTTTAGCAAGATATTCTGCTATTATACTTAAGAGCATCATCTATGATTACTCTTAACTTTTATTCTGGGTTTGCACTTGAACTGACGGTTAGATTTCCAGACACATCTAGCTTGTTGAATAGAATAAACTGCTTGAATCTGATGTTTTTTTTTAATTTAGACATACCATATACCCTAGCTATAGAGTCACTTTTTATAAAATTTGTGTTTTATATTTTTCTTTAGACAATTCTGTAGTTTAAATTTTGCTTCTAAAATTCCTAGAATGTTATTAGGTACAAAGAAATCCTAAAATATAATATTTTTAAAATATATTTTTAGTTTGATTAAGTATAATTACCCAGCAGTTAGTTCTGTATCGCTTTTATAAATATTTGGTGTAAAATGTTACTGGACATTCGGTTAAGTCTGCCATTCTTTGTTTTCATTGTAGTTAAACTATTTTTTATTGGGTACCGAATGAATAAAATAATATAATTACACCAGGCATTGTAATCTGAAACAAAGACAATAGTTTAGAAAATAGTTTTCTATTTTATAGAGGACCTTTACCAAATATACTTGAATGTATAAATATTAATAATAATAATTATTTATAAAATAAATTCTGCTAGTTAAACAACAAACCATCAAAACCATGACAAATGACAAGAAAAACTGACAAATTGACAATTGACATAAACATTAACGTTCCGAATTCAGATTTTGATGTGCACAGTACTTCTCGTGGATACCTTTTTTTTAGCAAATTACTTTATTACGTTGTGTTAACATAACATATAGGTTAAATAGGTAAGTAGCAAATAGATGTTTTGCGAGGTTTTGATTTCCCTCAACAACTTCTCATGAACGTTGCATTTGCGTTGTACAGTAATGTTATTACGTACCCTTAAAGCAACATCGCCAAAAGACTTGGCAACGTTACGTGTTAGCTGGGAGTGAAGGTGGCCTCTTTGGGGAAACTTTTCACCCTTTTAAAAGGTATTTTATTTAAGTGTAAATATTACGATCTGATATGGTTTTTATTATTGAAACGAAGTAAACTGTTTCTAATGCAATGTGTTTTTCAACCAACAAGCCTACGCAGCGCAGGAAATAGAGTCAAAAGCCCTGAAAAAAGGATTTGGGGCCCCTAACAAGTTATACTTGTTAGATTAATTTTAGTCTTGTTCTAGAGATGCCAGTTCAGTTTCTGAAATAAAATGGAGGTCATATACTCGTAATTCGCTTGGTAAGTTGGTAAACATTTCTGCGCCAAATATCTATTTTATTTTAATGACTGAATACCCTGTACAACCAGTAAAGTAGATTTGATTTTTTCCACACTAGATTAAATAAGATAAGATATAGCCATTTAAAATACTGATATTATATTAGATAATATTTAGTACCTAGTAAATTTAAATACAAATAATAATGTATCAAGGGCGTAAAATAGGCTTTTATGGACCGCAACGTGTAAGAGCCAAACATAATTTTTCTTTGTAGAAATAATTTGAAGTATGGTAGAAAAGTGGTCAGTGGTATTTGATTTAAAGACAATTGGAATGTATTTTAATGATTCTGAGTCATCTTTAATGAAGCAATGATCTATACATGCATGATTTACAGTCTATTTATATATGACATGAACCTATTTGTATACAATACATTTAAATAAGTCTTTGATATTACCGTTTTTTTTTTTATATCAATATTTATGTCTCCTATAAAGATGTGTATTATATTTTGTATGTTGTACTTGGCTAAAATAATCATCTAAAATTTTCAGAAATTCATTTGCTGATGTAAATTGGTGATATTTTGGTGATATTTTAATTTTTAATCGTGAAATAAAAAAGTAATATTAAACAATTTTATAAAACCAATTTGAAATTCCTCAAAATCACACTTTAGGCTATCTTTTATATATAACAAAACTCTATCATTCTGGTTAATATTACCTTTATTTTAAAAAAGATTTTACCCTTTTAAATAAAATATTAAAAGATCTGGCAGCTGCCTAGTTTCAGTTAAAATAATGACATCGAATGCATTCTTAAATTGATGCAGTAGTATTTTCAAATAGTCAAAGTTTTTACTTATACTTCGAATATTCATATTGAATATCTTTATATTTTCATTTTCACTATTACCAAGCCAGTAATTTTAGTTTAAATAGTTTGTATCTCAAAATTTTGTATATAATTATGCATTTTTTTGCTAAAAGAACTACAAACAGGTACCCAAAAGTTTGTTTATGTAAACCAAGCCATTAAACATGTTTTTAGTATTTAAAAATGTTACAATTAAAAACAGGAAAATAGTACGAAAAGCATGTAAGAAAATAAAATAAAAATACAATAAAATAAGAAAGAAACAATTAAAATTTATTTTGTAATCTGTGAAGATGAGTTAAATCGTATGGTTCTTCCTGTCACTTGACGTTTTTGAAATCTTGTTGTATTTCCTTTAATTGGGTTTGGAGTAGTTACAGTAGTTGTAGTAGCTTTATTTTGTTCACTATTGTCTTTATTTAAATTCAAATTGGAAATTGGTTCCGTATTGTCTGCTGAGATTGGCGTTTTTGGTATACTGTTGCTTTTGTTTTTTTCCTCAGATTTTTCTATTTCGATTTCGTTTACTTTCAAAACTTTCCCCTTTATATACGCTCTATTTCTGTTTTTTTTTGTTCTGCCAAATGCTTTCCGAGTATAGTCAACTCCTCCCTTTGTGATCATGTAAGATCGTGTGATATAGCTATTCCAGTGTTTTTTTGTTTTTGCAATTTTGTAGAATGTTTTTTTTTTAGTTGTGACGTGATTCCAACTTTTACTGGACAATTTTTTTTCTTTCCAAGGCAGTAAATGTAATTAATATCGGATTCTATTATGTCTACTTGCAATAATCTTATTATTTCACCAGTGATTAAGTTTGGTTTTACCTGGCCTGGAGTTTTATTTAGACTAAATATTATAATATTATTTAATTTATTAGCTCTTTCAAGTCTTTCAACTTTATTTTTTAGATTTTGGTTTTCGTTTTCCAAAGTTTTGATTTTATTGTTTAGACTTTCAATTTCTAGTAACAGTTGAGTTTTACTGGCTCTAATACAGTTTTTAAGTTCTTTGTTTCCCTCTTTAATTTTATTAAGTATTCATAAAATATTGCTTATTAATAGAAACAATTTTAGTATATGGCCAGCTTCTGTTTCTGTTGTTTTTACCGTAGTATCTTCAATTGTTTCTATCTGTTCTATTTTTTGTTTTATTATTTTAAGGTTAAATAAATTCCGATTATACACGTGGAATTGGTAATTTCCAATATGATCAATTTTTTGAGAATCCTGTTATTTAAATTGGTGTAAGATGTTT